GGGGCTGGGAATTCCCGGAATTGCCAGAGGGAAAAACCAAAATGGGGCTTGGGGGGAGGAATTGGGGAATTTTGGGGTTTGAGAAGGGATTTGGGGGGGATTTGGGGCAGGATTTCAGGAATTTGATTTCAGGAATTTGAGGCAGGATTTTGGGAATTTGGGGCAGGATTTTGGGTGGGAATTTTGGGGGATCTGAGAGGGGATTTTGGGGCAGGAATTTGGGAATTTGGGGCAGGAATTTGGGACAGGAATTTGGGGAAGGATTTGGGGCAGGATTTGGGGCAGGATTTGGGATTTTGGGGAAGGATTTGGGGCAGGATTTGGAGCAGGAATTTGGGGCAGGATTTGGGACAGGATTTCAAGGATTTTGGGGCAGGATTTTGGGGATTTCAGGAATTTTGGGGCAGAATTTGGGGCAGGATTTGGGGATTTTGGGGCAGGATTTTGGGATTTCAGGGATTTTGGGGCAGGATTTTGGGATTTCAGGGATTTTGGGGCAATCCCCACCTTTTCAGGGAAGCTGTCGTTGCCCTGGGGCCGGATCTGTGCCATGAAGGGGCTGCCCCGGGGGGGATTCAGGACAGGATTTTGGGGCAGGATTTTGGGATTTTGGGGCAGGATTTTGGGATTTCAGGGATTTTGGGGCAGGATTTTGGGATTTCAGGGATTTTGGGGCAATCCCCACCTTTTCAGGGAAGCTGTCGTTGCCCTGGGGCCGGATCTGTGCCATGAAGGGGCTGCCGCGGGGGTTATTTTGGGCAGGATTTTGGGGATTTCAGGGATTTTGAGGCAGAATTTCAGGATTTTGGGGCAATCCCCACCTTTTCAGGGAAGCTGTCTCCACCCTGGGGCCGGATCTGTGCCATGAAGGGGCTGCCGCGGATGTCGGCGCCGTCGCACAGCACGTGCACCGCGTACAGCCCCGGCTCCTGCGGCCAGTACCGGACCCGGCCCGAGCCGTCCCCGCCGTCCTCGCACTCCAAACGCGCCTGCGACGGACCCTCCACCGAAAATCCTGGGGAAAAATGGGATTGGGGAGGTGAAAATATTGAAATTGTACACGGGAAATCCCAAATCCACCGAAAATCCTGGGGGAAATGGGATGGAGAGGTGAAAATCCTGAAATTGAACAGGGGAAATCCCAAATCCACAGAAAATCCTGGGGAAATGGGATGGAGAGGTGAAAATCCTGGGGAAAAATGGGATTGGGGAGGTGAAAATCCTGAAATTAGGGATGGGAAATACAGAATTCACTGAAAATCCTGGGGA